AGAGCAGCTCAGGGCAGCAAGCCCCAGTAAGGAAATGCACTGGACATTCTCATTAGTTCTTCCTGCTCTTCAGGAAGCATTGACACCAAAGCTGAAGGGCTTTCCGTTAGCTTGCTGTGGGGTTCAGGCAATGGAGCAGAAATGAATTACAGCAACCCATGATACCTGCCTTGTGCACCTGTTAAAACTGCCCTTTCTACCTTGGTGAGGGGGAATTTTGGATGGTGCCAAATCCAATCTAAGATTGATGTGCCATTAAGAATCCTCCAAGCAGCTTTACTTCCTCATTAGTGCATGAGTATTAGAGGGAGGGAACAGAGAGGCCTCCATGTAGAAGGCAGCAGTGTTGGGAGAAGAGCCGTCCGCAAATGATTTCTCACCTTCAGAGGCTGTGCAATTTCACATGCAGATTCTATGGTGCTGGCTTTGGCTAGAAAACAAGTGTCCAGAAATAGGCCTCTGCACCTACCCCCCAAGCACCCCAGCTTGTCTTTGTGGAGTACCTTTTCACCTAAGGTCTCAGTCTTAGCCCTATTATGTGAAGAACTGCCATGGTCTTCAGGGGATGTCTACATTGGACCAGGCCCCTTATGCCATATCATGTATCTGCACTAGAGTAATAATATAATAATAATAATAATCTGTACTCTGTATAGCAACCCTTTTCATTTGACACCTCATGAAAGCTCATGGAAAACTTCCCATTGACTTAATGCAAGTTGGATGGAGTCCTGAGTTACCACAGCTTCTCTGGGCAGTGCCTAATAACTGCCTTCATTCAGGACATGATCCAGAATTCCCATTAAGTGGTAGAGCTAGAGAGATTTTGCAGGATTTGGCTATTCATCAATAAACATTTCCACCATGTAAGCAGGAGGGAGAAGTAGGAGGTTGAATAAACCTATAGCTACTCCACAAAGAATATTAGCATTCGGGGCACTTATACATATGGCAGTTGTCATGATGTACACGTGACGAAAATGTAATTTGTGTGGCTTAGTGGCGTTACATATTACACGTGCACCAGTTTTGAGGGTTTTAATGAGTTTGCATTGTTCAGGATGTAGTTTCATTTGCAACAATCCGTTGCAGTTGTCAGCTTGTCCCCCAGCCGCAGGAGAGGTGGGCAGGCTCCATGGAAAAGAAAGATCGGGCCCTCGCTGCTTCTGGTTTTAGCGGGTGCCTGCTGAAGGCAGAAGTAGTAAGGGACCCTGTGGCAGGGCACTGTGTGTGCCTGCC